CCTCATTTCATTTATGTTATAAAGAGAAATTACATCTCTTAATTTTCTTTTACTAAAAGAAAAGCTTTTTCTCGAAAAAACCCCTATGTGGTAGTGTGCAACATATTTAGAGCTTACGATCAGCAATTTCTCTAAAGAGGAAGATTTCAGGAAAAAAGTGACTCTAAAAGTAATTTCAGCAGCAAAGTAGATTAAATATCCACCATATTAGTCACAGAGTATTAGATGGAATTGGATTGACTGGGAAGAGGTCAAAGAGTTGCTGAAGGTTTTAGCCCACCAGAGGAGCAATAAAATTCAACCATACTTAAAATCATTAGCTTTAAACCCTTTGATATTAGATCCAAACCTCCAGCACTCACAGAAGGAACCTCCAAGCACCACGGCAGGCCAAAAGGAAACCCTCTAAGACATCCACATTTCACAGAAACCTTGCAGTGAAGCACAGCAGTGACAACAGAGAGAACCTGCACACGCAGGGAAGACTGAGCCACAAATAGAGGGGAAAGGAAATGCAGCCTTTAAGGGAAGTTAATTTATAAAATAGCAAGATATTCACTTTAATAAGTACCAGTGGGGCCCAGGGGACGTTTTTAGGTGGCAAAAAACCCCACCCATGAGTTCCTGCATGGTTCCTCCACTTCAATTCCTTGCTCCCAGTACCAGGGCTCGTTTCTCCCTTCCTTTTCTCGTGATGACAAGGCACATTCCCCCTCACAAAGGACATATTTGCAGAGCAAGTGTGGCACCAAAATGAGAAAACCAGGGATCTGGATTGCATGACATGATAAAGGAAAGTGCCATGTGCTGACAGCAAGGCAAGGATGAAATCTGAAAATGCAGAAGTCATCTAACACAGCAACAATCCCAAAGAAAGAGGAAAAAGGCAGAGGAGTAATTAAAAACCCTGAAGACAGTGATGGGTCTCAAGTTTTTGAACTGACTTCCTATTTAATAGAAAGGATGGTTTCCACCCGAGAGAAGAGAGATAAAAGAGAGACTTTGCTGTAACTAATAACCAACTGACATATTTCTGTTGGTTTTGTACATTTCTTCACTCATTTTGAAAATGACAAGTATAATTAAAGTTGTTAAATACATCGAGAGACTTGTCAGTCAACTAAAATATCAACTCTTATAAATTCTCCACAATAAGCACTGCACACAGCACAATGCAGAAGAAATTAATCTCTCACCAGAAAGATTTTGTCATTTGATGATCCTAAAAAAAAACAAAAAACCTTACAGATTTTCTATTTCCTGGGGCAAAATGAACTTTTCTTCATGTGTTTGCGGATATAAAATGCATGTGTTTAATTTAACTTCTGCAGTGTAGCAAAACAAAAATCTCATTAAGAATTTTGGTGCCTATTCGGAAATATTTGGGGGTTTAACTTTAATGCACATCCTACAGAGGAGCACATTAGGGGTTATTTTGCACAAGTATATTTTTTTCCAAGAAGGACAAAACAAAAAAGAAGATGTTCCAGAAACATGCCTTTTAGGGACAAGTTTCAGTGGAAAAAACCCATGGCTGTGCCCTGCCACAAGACTCAAACTAAATTAAACACAACACAGGTAATAATTAAGTTTTGTGTTAGCTGTGTATATGCAGGATAATTTTAACCCCTATAAAACCCTCTTAGAGTTATAACTTTGCAAGCCACTCAGAAAGAAGCCCAACCCTCAAAGTGTGAGTTCAGCACTCAGCTAATCCATGCTTGCTACCAGGTATGACAGGATCCAAAAGGCTAAAAAGCCAGTCAGGAAAGAAGAGCCCATGGAAACACATTAACTACTCCAGAAAAATTGCTGAAGGAAATAAACCACCCTGGAAAACCTGCTTTTTCAGTGTTTGATAAGAAACAGTGCCTCAAAGCAGCCAGCATCAGTCTCCAGTACCTGATCACATTCTGATGGAACAGTGGATTAAATTCATGTAAATTCACGAGCAGCCTGTGCCTGCGCTGGGACCCTGCTGCAGCCTCACTGCTGAGCACAACAGGGACCCAGAGATGCCACCATGTCTGTGGCCATGTCCCCCTGCTCTGACCCCGGGGAAATGGGAGCTGGGCACAGCTCAGGGGGCTGCAGGGGGCACTGCAAGGCCAGCAGGGCCTTCCCTCCCTCCCCAGTGCCCCCGTGGGGACAAACCCTCAGCGAGGTGGGCAAAACAGGTCTAAAACTAAAATTCTTCAGGGAAGCAAAACCCACAGGGAACATTAAGTGTATTAAACAAAATTCATGGAAAAGGCATTCAAAAACTCATTCGAGTTTACTGCACTAGCTGTATAAATATAATCAGAGATGAGCAAAAAAAAAAAAACCAACCCCAAATTGCAAAAAACCTTGACCAACCAAAAAAATAAAACAGACAAAAACCCCCAAAACACACACCACAGGAAGATTTCACTTGGCCACTAAGACACATGTTCAAAAGCAAAGTCTGTCTGACAGGAGAATAACTTCCATCTTGTCAAAACCTTCAGTAAGTGATTCCCCTTCCAGGCTGAATTCCTTCTGGTACAATAACTATGAGCTTACTCTAGAGACTGGAATTGATACTGTCTAAATCAGCACAACCAGTGCTATACCTGGGTTCTCATGCTATAAATGAAGCAACCCTGATTACAAAATAAATTTTAATTCTTGTTTGAAACCAAACTCTATTTTTCCTCCCTCTCCTTTTTAAAGGCTGGTTTATGCTCTGGCATTTTAGCACCCTCACTGGTTATAGCAGAATTTTTGTTGTAGGGTTTCACAGCTGATCAGATGGAAGCCAGACCAGCCTCACCCCTCCTGCCAGAGCAAGGTCAATCCTCAAAGCAGCCCAGGCTTTGTTGTTGTTTAAATCTTGACAACACTGCTGGCATTGTCAGAAATAAGTGAAGGTTTACACACAGGGAATACCTGACCACTTGGAGCTGGACTGGGATCTCCTCTACAGAACAGATTCTGGATGAATAATTTGATATATTATTAAAAATATGCTTTATAAAGCAGGACAGTTTCTTTTGCACTTCATAAAAGAAAATCTAGAGACATTATAAAATTTCTTTTCCCTGATGGAACTTACTGTTTTAAGCCATTCTGATGAGTAGGCATCAGTGTTGTAGTAGAGTAAAATGTGCCCTCACAAATATTATCTGAGAACACTCCTAAAATATCTCCAAGGATTTTTATATGCTAGGTAGAATACACTATCATATCAAAGCAATTCCTGCATTCCATAATTTAAATGAGAGCTGGAAGAACGCGGCTGGGGTGATCAATTTCTTTTCAGGGATAGTGACTGAAAGAATAGTTGACATTTCATAGGTTTTTTAGTGCCTAAAATAGTGTGTTTTCAATCTCTGAAGGCTTATTTTTCTTTCTAAAGATGGCGTGGGGCCTGGGGGACCCACTTAAAGTTTCTTGCCATACTTGGCCAAGAAACACAGTGTTGGTGAAGTATAAACACAGAGCCCTTTTTCTTTGACCCATTCTGCAGTGTGATGGGATAGTGTTGTTAGTTTATGTGAGAGAAAATAGCATAGGCTTTCTGAAAAAAAAAAAAAAGTGGAATTGGATTAAGGCCTTTGTGCAAGCCTCAATGCTGAGGGGAATTAGCAATAGTTGTAGGCACTTAAAGGAGCTCTCATGCTGAAGCTTATCCCAGATTTTACACAATAAACATTTGAATATCAACAGTGTTTTGCAACTTGCAGCACTAATGTATAAACTTCTTCCTTTTGAAACTCCCAAATCCCTCCAAACGTTCGCAATACCCTCTACATAAACATGTAGGGCCTATAGTGGAAAACACCCAGTCAGGGATGTAAGTCTGATTTTTTTATTTCTTTCTTTTTCATCCCTGGAATCTAAAATGAGATCTAGTACCATTAGCTGGTTTAAGCACTTCGGAAGTTCTGTGTTTTAACCAACTTTTTCCCCTCCAGCCTCACTTTCCATTTAAAAGACAAAGATGTCAATGAGACATGAGCTTGACTTGGGTATCCTAATATTACATATTTCATGCTACAATGAAAAGGCACTACAAAACCTTTGAAGTGATTCATTAAAATACTGATCTATCCCTCTTATCAGTATGTTCATAGCTTTTTTTTTTAGCTCAGCTAACGAGCTTACACCACACTACAACATGAACATGTGGGACAAGGATTCAATTCCCTTCCTTTAAACTCATCTGCAGGTGAGCAGGACTCAGGACAAGGAGGAAAAGCTGGACTTGCTGCTGGAGCCCTCCTAACATCCATGGAGCTGCTGTCATTGGCCTAAAGTCAAGCTTGGCAGTTAATGACAGGCTGAGAGCTTATAACATTAGGTGTATAAATCCACACTGACTAGAGCTGGGGGAAAGGTCTGTCTTTTCAGATAGTGATCAGCCAGATTTGCAGTTGACATGGAATTCCTACTGGCTTTTTTAGATGCCACTTAATTTTGGTACCCTGTTTAAAGGATGACAGCTGATTCAGGAACAAATTACTTCCACGCTCTTGGTGTGAGCCCAAAGTAAATCTTCTCAATACAGTATTTAATTATAAAAGATTCACCCTCGCCCCAATTCCCTTTTTAACTCCTGTTAGGTAGGTATGCATGTAATCAATTTTACATCTTTGTAGCTGTAGCTGTCCACTAAAAGATGGAACAAAGAAATAAGCCCATGGTGAAAAACAGGGTGGGAAAAACTTGGAGATCATTTTTTGTTACAGTGTTTGTTTTGTGCTTGAAAGGACTGCGATAAGAAACTCATTGCATTAAGAAAAAATGAAGACATTACTGCCCTGTCCAGCTCTGAAGCATGTTGAAGCAGTTTGCCTATTGAATTTGATACAATGATGTATAGATGAATAAAGTTATCTCTAGTATTGAATGGGACGGTGTCAGTGGGAGGGTAAAAAGGGAGGAACTTGGAATCTGAAAAGAATACTTTTCCCCCCCTCTTTTTAAGAACTTGAAGGTCAGGGTCCAGCTGCCGTAAAAGGCTAGAGGACAAACAAAATGCTGCACAGGCCCAAATAAAGACAACTATAGACACATAGCAGAGGTTTCCTGCTTCAAGTAGCTATTATATTAACCTACACTTTAGGCAAAGAGCATTTTAGGTTTCACACTGATGAAAACATAGGATGAGCAGAAGCATCAATAAAAGTTGCACCTTTAATGAAACAGATGAAACAGGCCAGCAAAGGTAGGAAACAATTTTTTAAAAGAGGAAATTATATTGGGTCTAGTTTTCTTGAAATTAGTTATTTTGATTGAGATGAGGCAGTAAACTTGCTTTTCTCTTCTTTGCATCCAGCCAGGAACAATTCTAAGAGATCTGTTGCCTAGCTCCTTGCAAGGCCTGTATCATAAACAACAAGAAATATAGTCTTGAAATTTGAGGTAGTATATGAAAAATATATACTTGAACTCATTGTTCATTCATCCACGCTTATAAACTGTTAATATTCTGATAAGCTGGCTTTCACATTATGGTCTGGGAAATAAGGGTAAGAATCTTCAGTGAAGCAGTCAGAAGGGTTAATATCCCTGATGAGAGGGGAAAACTGCATTAAAACATCAAGTTGAGCTGCATTTTGTCATTCATGCTCAGTGCTGCTTTTGTTGTCTTGTAATTACTCTAAATTTAAATGTCTCCCCATAAGATGAAAGAATGGCTAGTATTTTTTTTTAAGAATAAAAACTAGTAGCCTGTGCTGTTCAGCAGGGGGGAGGAGGGGGCTGGATAGCTTTGACTGAGTTTGCTTGGCTTTTTTTAAAACAAAAAAGAAACAGCAGAGGTAGAATTGCCTCATGATGTCAGGTTTTTAATGTACATAGGAATAAATTTAATAGCTTCAGATGACCATTATAAAAACCAATCCAATTCACTGAATTACTGTTTTTTCAACATTGGTTGGTTTTAATTGTTTGGGGATTTTTGCTGCTTGTGTTTTATATCAGTGACACAGAATTCTAAAAAAATATTCAAATTAATTTAAGTGATTGATTTACCATGTACATTTTGCAATAAAGAGACGTACTGAAATCATATAAGCTCTTTCCAACTTAACTTCCAGACCAGATATTTAATCATGCAAGTTGGCAGAAAGGCAAAAGCAGAAACCAAAAAAAAAAATCTTCCGTTAAAAAAATATATTTTCACCTTCTGACAAAAATGTTTTAAGAAATAAAAGCTGGAAATGAAGGTCGAAGTATAACATGAAAAGAAAAAAAGATGCAACAGTTAAGCCTTAAAACCACTGTTTCCAGGCTAATGTGTGTTGTAGATCATTAGCCGAATGCATTGTCTAATGGGCATAAATGAGAGCCTTCGTTTTGAAGTTCCTCTTTCATCTGCAGTCAAACTTTGAGTTTGATCCAATCTATAAAGATAAATCTAGGGATTAATCTGGAGGTTTAAATGGTTTAGCCAAAGGTTGGTCCAGCTTTATAATAATGACAGCTGATTTGTGTTACTTTCCACTGAGATTTCTTTTTTTTTGGATGACCCCCCTACATATTGCATCTCACAATTAGGCTGTTGACAACTCTATTATGCTGACAGCAGAGGTAGAGCTACGTGGGGAATTCTACAGCATGTTGTGCTGTAAATGTTACTCACAGATGTCTTAAGAGACTGCAGCTTGTCCCATGTGTTCCTATCTCTGCTGCAGCACATCTCGAGCTGCAGTTGTTCCAGTCAGAATTGGTGGCATGCTGAGCCTAATGCAACTCTTACCAACAACTTTCTGAGATTAGGAGCCTGTCAGGATGATGTCAATGGAGGTTTAAGAAGTGCTTTCTGAAGTTGTTCTGAGTTAATAATTAATGGGTTGATTATTTTACTCCCTTTGATAGTTCTTTTATATTTGGATGCAGCTGGCTGGAAATAACCACAAAGGGAAACTGATTTTATTTGCCATTAATTTTGACTTTACTTAGCAAATTATCCCGTGTCCCACCATCACATCTTTGCTAATCTGGCTGTGCTGTAATGTGAAGATGAAATCTTTGATTAACAAAACAGATTAATCAGTTTCTAGAGTGTTTTGGGGTAAGATACATGCACATACATCTCCTCCCAAGTAGTTTTCCAGTACATGCTTAGAGATGTGTTAAGTGCTGAAAGCTGTCGAGCAATCAGATTGTTTTTGATGTAGGCTGCATCTTCCTCTTGCAGAAATAAGTGTTTTGCCAAGTAAAGCAGAAGCGTTTTGTCTGCACAAGGTTAAGATTTGGCAGTGCAAACTGGAAAATACAAGTTTAGGGCTCAAACCTTGTCTTTTACACTCAAAAAATCAGCTTTACAAGTGAAATTAATCCAAGATAATTTCCAATATTACTTTCTTGCTATGATAATGCCCACAGATGCTAAATGTTTCCTAGATATATGTCAAGACTATGCCCTACCTTAAATAATTGCTATTTTACATTGATTTATTTTCCAGTACTTGAAATATGTGCATATGTATCCTACCTACGCATTCCAACTCTGGCACAAGAGCAAATTCACACATATATGACCTTACTTTCCTTACAAGGAAAAATGCTGGAAGATTCAGCCCTTTTTGAGATCTCTGTACTGCCACAAAAATATAGTTAATTTACTTTGCAAAATAGTTTTGTCAGACTGACCTAGTCTATTAAAATTACTCCATAAAAGAAATTAGGGAAACTGAACCAGAAGGAGAAAAAAATATGTCTCATTCTGGATATTCAGAGATTTTGTCACTGCTTGAATATTTCCATCGACAAATTATAAGTAACAGATTAAACTTATATCCTTAAATGAAAAACATCTTTACAACTTAGGTGAGAAAAAAATCTATGCAAGAGATGCATTCAAATGCATTTGTGCTATTTTCATATGAGAAAATTAATAGTTAAGCATACTTTGTAATTTGTAATTACTCACAAATTAAGAATCAAAGCAAAATGTAGTAGTTAACTAAGAGATCTGTTTCTCTCCTGGGTGACCTAGCCAGTGTAAATGAAATCCTATTGAGACAGAACACTTTACTAGCCAGATAATGAACAAGCCAGTTTATTGTATTGATTTTTAGAGAACACACATCTCTAAGCGCCATGACTAGACCATACTACCAATTTTCTAGCTATTAGATATTTGCCATTCTGTGAAATAAGTTTGGAGTTCGTAACAAGCACACACTACAAACTTTTGCAGTAAGATCAAGAAATAAAAATAGAAACTGTTGCTATCTATGAGGATACTGCAGCAGGATCCTGTAGATGCAATAAATCTACATTTTACTCCCCAGTTTGTAATGCAGTGTGAGGATTCAGCTGCAGACATGAGTATCACCTGTTAGCAACTCTAGAAAACTTCAATACCAGCAGAGATATGACTCCCCCCTACCACCAGTGCACATCTCAAACACATTTGAGTGTTTGAAGATATTTGTGAACTATGAAGGACACCCTTAAGAGTTAAGAGAAGCTTGACCATCATGTCACAGTTCTCACTGATCATCCGTAATTGAAAAGAGCTTTTACTCTCCCTGCCTTCCCAACCCCAGCTTAAAAATTGTTTTTAGAAGTTGACAGGCGTCAGCAGGGAAGCTGAAGAGACAGCGAGGTTTTAGATTTTTTTTTTAATACATCCGTACCTGTTTAGGCAGATTAAGTCAGGAAAAGATGCTGTTTCAGTCACCCTGAGAATTTGATTATTATTTGAGCTGGATTTGATATTTATCAGTAATGTGCAAGTAGGACAAACTTGCTAAATCTTGGTGAGGGAACTGTAAGAGCTTTTTTTAACTTAATAACAAATAAACACCTACCTCTGCCTGGTTTTATACATATAGATGTGTATTTTTATCAATAAAACACAAATACATTGAACTGCATTCAAGCATAAGTCATTATCCTCTGCATTCTCTCTCCCATTTAAAAAAGGACAAAGATAACAGGGAATTGTAAGGATTTTTGTTAACGTGCACTCTATAAAACTATCTGATTGAAACAGTATATTCTCCTGAGAAACTTTAAATCTGGTCTTCTGGAAAGCACTCAAATTTTAAGATAACTACAGATAACTGATTTTGAAAGGCAGCATTATGAAAGCAGAGCTTATAATATTTCAGTGCCCGCCGCTGGACCTCACAGCAGCAATTTCTCCGTGACTTGTTACTACTTTAAAATTAAAGTTTGATATTAAGGGAACACTTTATTGCTTAGTTTACCAGAATGTTACATTTTAGCTCAGTGATGTCTTTTTAAATGCAGAGAAAAATGACTGAAGAAATATTTCTGAACAAATAACTCCATCAGTTCCAAATGCCTGCAGAAAAAGCACAGAGTGAGGGTGTCTACACCTGCGCTTCAGATTTCTGCAATCTAAATAACAAATATTTTGTGCAAATTTTAAGATTATCTATTTTTAAACTGCAAATAAACATTTCAGCTCACAGAGCACATAACTAAATATAGGACTTTTCTAGTGTATTTTCTAGGAACATAAAATATCCCCAAGAGCAAAATATTTTGAATTATTTAAATAAGTTAATACCTAAAAACAAATAGCCATGTCCCAGGTACAAAATTCTGATCCTCGGTTCCACATAGAAAATATTTGGTTTCTAATATGAGCAAATATCTTGACAAGTAATTTTGTATTAAAAAAAAAAAAAAAAAAAGGCAAAGGAATATTTCCTGCTGTGTTAGCTCTGTTTCACTGATGTGGTTAAATAGATTTTTAGCATTCACCACTTCTTAAAGGTACATATAACCAGGGTGATGACAAGATATCTATGTCACGGCAAATTGGGAAATAATTATTCTGTTCTTTGATTTATTACATCAGTTGTAAAGTATCTAACTGGAACTGGGCACTGCAACCTCTGCACATGTGAATTCCTCTCCTGATGTTATTTGTCTCAGTCTATTCATTTTCAGTTTAATTACTCACGGGTGTAATGACGGACAAAATTCGGACCTCAACTCCCCACTTTACCCCTAAATCTTTATTAGCCTCTGTCTAAAAGGCTCTACCTGTGTAGCAAAGAAAGGAGCAAATTACACAGTTGCTCCAGTGTAATTGTTTTAGATGTTTGGAGCTGGAAATAAAAGCTGTGTTAATAAGTGCACAGCTGAAAGCTTCGCTTTCTATAGCGCCCAGACGCTTGTTTGCATTTGATGAAAATTATTAATACTAACACCAAAATGGTTTGGAAACCATTTATA